TCGTGGGTGGTAATCGAGAGCGCGAGAACGCTGAATTTGAATGGGCAAGGTTGGGCGTGGGGGTCATTGTTCTTAAATTTCAGCCTCCTAGACTCCGTGGTTCCCGAGATATTAACGTACCCGTGAATAACTTTCACAGGGCCGTACCTGTTACCCGCTGGTAATTGAAGGCTGAATTTGAATGGGCAAAGTTGAGGGTGGACAGGGGATCATTGCCCTAAAACTTCAGCTTCCTAGACTCCAAGGTTCCCGAGATCTTAACTTACCCGTGACTTACCCGTGAAAAACTTTCACGGGGCCGTACGTATTACCCGCGGGTAAGGGAAGGCTGATTTTGAGTGGGCAAGGTTGATAACTTTCACGGGGCCGTACGTGTTGCCTGCGGGTAAGAGAAGGCTGAATTTGAATGGGCAAGGTTGAGGGCGGGCAGGGGGTCATAACCCTAAAACTTCAGCCTCCTAGACTACGTGGTTCCCAAGATATTAAATTACCCGTAAAAAACTTTCACGGGGCCGTACGCGTCACCCGGGGGTACGGGGAAGCTGAATTTAAATCTGCGGGGTCACACGTGGGTGGGGGACGTTACCCTAAATGTTCAGCTTCCTAGCTTTTGTGGTTCCCGAATTGAAAGTTGCGGACACACACACACACAAACACACACAGACAAACCCGTAACAATATGCGTTTTGTACTGCTGTTACACAGCACAAAACGCATAAAAAATACCTAATGGTGATGGATAACGATTTCCCTACCATGAACGGCTCCTCTGATGGCATCTGGTAGCGGCGCAATGGCGGAAAGTGATGGCTGCCTAATTTTTCCGAACCTTCTGCCACCTGGGCCGTTTCCTGTTTTCTGTTTTTAATGTATTTTTTGACATTTACAGTTTCTCTGATTTTCTCATTTGCAAGCTCTTTTTAGAATGATTTAACAGTGGAGCAAACTTCACTGACTGTGTTGAGTAAGCACTGAAATTTTCCATCGTTTTAGGGAATTTTTTTTTCAGAAGCGAGGCTCATTCTTTCAAAAAACTTTGCGAGTGGAGCATCCAGTTGTGCCGGACAGCGATATCCTACAAACCGAATTGCAGAAGAAACTATCTGAAAATGAGTCATTGCACAAAAAGGTCATTTTTGGCCGTTTAATGATTTGTAGAAATGCAAGCCGTTGTTACCAAAGGCTGCCTCAGTTCAAATCTTCAAGGTCACCGCTTTCCTTACGTTCAGGAAATGGAAAGTATTACTTGCGGTGCTTCTTCATGTGGGACGGACAACCGCCTAGGCGAGATGCTTTTTTAGAATTATCATTTTTGATAAAAATTTAACAAAAACCTGTTTTCCTGGTTTCAGATTTCCGATATGGAAATTAAGCATACGCAGGTAGTATCGGGCCTCACTGATCGATGCAGGGAACTGGAGGATATGACCGAGGAACTGAAGGAGGAAATTAAAAGGATGAAGCTGGATGCCAGTACGAGTCATTCACCGTAAGTACGAGCCAAGCATTAGCAGTTACTTATTCAGCTTTACCCTGGGTGGTGAATGGTTATTGTTTTTAGCGTCTTATCTCTAAATGACTGCACCTCTTTGCGCAAAACGACATCTTTGGTTTTTTGATGTTTAGCCCTAAATTTCATGTTTGGACCGGTTTTTTTCTTTATTCATTTCAACACTGTCTTGCTCTTTTTACTCCATCTAGACATTCTTTTGATTTTGATTAGCACTCATTTTATTCGAACAGTCATTAATAATGTCAAGCAAATGTTTGTAGATTGGCGAATTCTCACGATGTGCCAGGGATTAGGCCGACCAATGGACTCACTGCAGCACTACCTGGGATACATCTCGATGTGGAAGAAAATCAGAATTCGGTAAATTTAATTTTTTTTTCGTATTTCACATCCTTTATATATGTATATATATGCATGTATACACATATATACACATATATGTACACATATATATATATACACATATGTATATGTACACATATGTATATATATATATATAT